TCACTATAGGGTTATGGTTTGGTTTAGGGTTTGTTGCTTGTAATTCTGCTTATTTGACTGTTATTGCTAAAGTAAATACATATATTTATATATTTATGTAATTAATTCCATTATAAAATATTATATAATTCTGTTTACTATTTATTTATTTTTTTTAATTAATTTTAATTAATTAATTAATGTAAATCTAAACAAATACTCGCTATTACTATAGTAAGTACATGTTCAATATTTATTATATGTATTAATTATGTTATAAAAATATTTTAGAATTGTATGACTTACTATTATTTTTTTATATTTTGAAAACTATGTAAATCTTAATGAAATGTGAAATATTTATAATCTATTTTAATATTTATTCTGTTAATATTATACATTTTTGAATGCAATTGTGACATCAATTCTGCCACAACCAACAAATTTGCCATTATATATTCAGTGTACTTGGTTACCAAGGCAACAAAGACCATGCAGCCTAATATGTGAGATGTGTTAAGAAAAAAGACAAAAAAAATCAAGGTAAATTAATTAAGTTTTATATTTTTATTGTCCAACACAATACATAATTTGTGAATTGATGGAAATGTTTATGATGTTTTAGTAAGGCTGGACAGTAATTCAATATCAATATGTATCGCGATATAATTTTTTTCAATAACGGGGATATGATTTTTAAACACATTTCCGATATTTCGATATACAGTACATTACCAGTGTTTCCCATACATTGATTTATTTGTGGCGTTGATTTCAGAATGATTTCTGAAGGATCATGTGACTGGAGTAATGATGCTAAAAATATAGCTTTGAAATCACAGGAATAAATTACATTTTAAAATATTTTCAAATAGAAAACAGTTATTTTAAATAGTAAAAATATTTCAAAATGTTACTGTTTTTGCTGTATTTTAGATCAAATAAATGCAGGCTTGGTAAGCAGAAGAGACTTCTTTAAAAACATGAAAAATCTTACTGTTCAAAAACGTTTGACTGGTAGTGTATGTTAGCCTATAGTTTGAAGTTAAAGATATTCATATTAATTAGGTGAGTCTGAGACAATTATTTGACAGTGATTTCACATTTCTTGTTTGTATGAAGGCTAATTACAAATAAAATAAAACAATTTTCTCTAAAATATTATATGGTTTTATATGAGGTGTCATAGACTTGGCATATTCATTTTTCATAAGTTTGTTTGCACAGACATCTGTTGTGGGTGTTCTTGGCAGTTTTTACGAGGCTTTTTTAAAAGTGTTCATATCGATATTGGAATTATATTGTATCGACCGAAATTAAGAAATATATTGTGATATAAATTTTGGCCATATCGTCCAGCCCTACGTTTTAAAAAAATGACTGAATTCTCCTGTGATGTATAGGTCTACTGTTGGAAATTGTTAGTGGACAAATGAAACTACTGAGTGCAGAAAGTATGTTTTTTTCCTAAAAAAAGTCCACAGGGCTGAAAGTAGCTGTAGTTGAGTCATCAGTCTACCAAATTACTCACTGAAGTCATCATAGCGGTTACTAGATGAACATCTGTAGCATAAAAGTGCTGCAGTAATAACCACTAAACCATGGGTCAAACAAAAAGCAATACTTCTGACAATAGTTTCTCAGAGCAACTGTTTGCTGCGAGCGTGCGTGTGTGAATGAGTCAGTGAGTGTGAGTGTGTCCATGCTGCGTCCATCTCTGCCAAACTGACAAAGTGACTCCAGCCGCTCTCCTTCGGCAAGCTGCTGCGGTACATGGTGAACAAAACACACCAATCTTCACAAGCGGCCAGCTCTCCCTCCCACGCATTCTCCATCCGTACCACACCACCTAATGCTGCCCACGTCTCGGACCACGTGCCGGTGCCCAGGCTGCGCTGTAGCGGCTGTGGGCGCTCGTGCCCAGGCGAGCTGGTGCCGCTTGGAGTGCCCGGCGTGTGCTGAAACACGACAGCCCGCTGGTCCCAGGGCACCCATCACATGCCCATCTTTAAGCCATCTGCAAAGTAGAGCGGTTCCCGCCAAAGCATTAAATTAAATCCTTGTTTGGGCTGATTAACAAATGGCCTTGTTTTTTTGTGTTCCGTAGGCTTGTTTTTTCCTCCTGTCCTGCTGA